CAGAAAAGGCGCGCATACAGGCGGAAAAGGAGGCGAAGCGGGCTGAAAATGCGGTCGCAGCTCCTGGGAAAAGGGGTCGGCCTTCGTTGACGAAACCTACCGAGGATGAACAGGGTACAGAGGGAGCGAAGGAGACAACGGCCAGGAAACCACGCGCGAGCACCTCGAACGGGAATGCCAGCATTATGTCGGTTGAACTGCCCCTCCCAAAACCCTACGGCTCTTCCTCACAGGCCAAGTCGGACACCGCTGATACCATCGCCGATGTTGTCACACCCAAAAAACGCGGCCGCCCATCACTTTCGCAGACCGTAATCGCAGAGAGGGAGGCAGAGAAGGAGCGCATAAAGGCGGAAAAGGCGATCAAGAAACTTGAGGCTCGGACTGCCAAAGCGAACGCTAAACGAGCAAAGGGAAAGGGACAGGCGGGCACCGGGTCGGCCGCTAAGGAGCCCGAAGATGCAGCAGACAAGACGGTAGACTCGGTGGCGTCTGATGAACTTGCTCAGCCTCTGAGCCCCGGGTTGCATCACGAAGAATCGCACCCACAGTGGGAGGTTCTGAAACCTCCTCCATCGTCCAGTAGAACGAATAGCCCGCAAACCGACGAGATTGAGCCTATGCTGAGCCAGCGCAGTATTAAAACCAGAACTGTTCAGGTACATCCCACACAACTGTCGTGTGGCTTGTTGTTCACGCTTCTTTACAGAAACCTACACCTATTGCTCGCTCTATGCTGCCGAAACACGTTACGACCGAGGAACCAGACACCGAGAGCCTTTCCACGGTACAGACCCTCTCTAGGCCACTGTTTATGCCATCCTCCGGGCTGGTGAAGACCAATTCGCACCCAGGCCTGTTGCCCTCCTCCCCGCTCGTACCCATTGCTACCCCCTTGTCCCAGCCGACCCCCTCTGCTCGCCGACGTTCAATGGCTTCCGCAGCTCTGCCACGGTTCACCAACTTCAAGAAAGAGCAAGAACTATTACGACAAAAGCGGCGAGCTTCACATATACCCACCAGCCAGCCGCTCACTACCGAAACGCAAGCCTCACGGCCAAACGGCAGCCAGGATATTTTAGAGATTGATGAATCCTCCAGCGATGAAAGCTCCTCCGCAGACGAGGTGGCAAACAAGACGGTTACCCCGTCCAACAAGAAACGACGCTCTGTCTTGGGTTACTTTTCACAAGCTTGATTTACTTTTGTTTACCGTTATCACGTGATGCAATGTCCCTAGTATATATATGAAATTATTTTTACCCAAATATTTTACCACAACCACTCCACCAACAATGTCAACTGTCGCAGTCGCAATCTGGTCCCAAGACCTCGAGCCCAATAAGCGCAATGTCTACACAGTTGAAAACGACATTCGTATCTCGGGTGCTTCTCTGGCCGCGCAGCTCAAAGACAACACTGGCCGCACTGTGGTCGAAGTTGTGATTAAGATCCCCGAGGACTATGACATCGAGGATATCCCAACGGACGAGAAGACCGGCGAGCCAGTTCCTATGCACAGGTTTGTGCTGTGCGCGTTGACTCCCGGAAAGGTGGGCGGACAAGAGGGCTTGTTTGATCGACATGTGCTGAGTTGTTTGTAGGTCGAGCAGCTCCCACTTGACCTCGTACTCCCAGAGGGTGAGGAGATTGAGTTTGTGGTTACCGGTAAAAAGTGTGTTGCTCGTACCGATTGCTGGAAATTTTCGTTGATCACATCTTGGTTAGCCCCGTTCATCTCTACGGCAACTATATCACGCAAGGCCCAGATAGCGATGAGGACTCCGATGAAGAGGGTGATGAATTCGACGTCGAGGACATGCCCTCTGACGTCGAGGAGGTTGGCTTGGGTGAGATGGAAGAGGACTCTGGGTGCGTATTTCATCAATCATGTTTAATAATCTCTGACTCTCCCGTAGCCGTTTCGAGGAGATCGATGCTGCTCCCCCCAAGAGCGTCAAGCGTGCCCGTGAAGACGAGGAGACGGGTGACGTTTCTGTCGCTTCCGGTGCGTAGGCCTGCTAGTTGAGCCCTTTATGGTTTGTGACTTGTAAATGTAGGAGCCGACATCCCAGCGATGTCAAAGAAGGAGAAGAAGCGTGCCAAGAAGCTCAAGAACGAGGCTGGAAAGGCTGCTCCTGCTCCTACTACCACCACAACTACCGTCGCTGCTACTACGACGACCGTCACCCCTGCCAATGGCAAGGAGTCCAAGCCCGCAGAGAAGAAGGACAAGAAGGATGGCAAGAAGGACGGAGAGAAAAAGAAAAAGGTGAAGAAATAGTTAGGTTCGCCATCGCAAGGTCTTGTCCTCGCGTTGAGTGCAGGATCTGGCCTCGGTGCGTGCTCCAAAAAGATTGTACAGATGTTAATTTGCGTTTCTCTGCACAATCGCATTGCGTTTATGCTTTCCGGTTGTTATATTATCATTAGCATGAACCCAAGACTCTTGCAGGCGGTGTGATCATTGAAGACAAAAAGATTGGGACGGGTGAGTACCAACTATGCTGCCAAGTATCTGTCCTAACCACGAATTCATCTACGGCAGGTCCGGCAGCCAAGGCTGGAAAGAATATAGGGATGCGTTACATTGGACGCTTGAAGAATGGAAAAGTTTTTGATTCCAACACCAAAGGTACACCATTCCTATCCCCCGCGTGAAACCAACCAGAATCTCTCGTCCAGGGAAGCCGTTCTTTTTCACCCTCGGCAACGGAGATGTAATCAAGGGATGGGACGAAGGCATCCCAGGTATGAGCGTCGGGGGCGAGCGCATCCTCACCATCCCCGCTGCCAAAGGCTACGGCAAGCGGGGCGCTCCACCTGATATCCCGCCCAATGCCGAGCTTATTTTCGGTGAGTTTGAGCTCTTTGTTTGTCGCAGGTGACACTAAGCCGAGGTCGTTGCAGAGGTCAAGCTTGTTGAGATTAAGTAGTTGGGACAGTATGAGTTACCGTGGTTCCCGACGATTGTTCTGGTGTGGGCGAAATTAGCTTCGAAACTTGATCACATAACAATCGAAAGTAAAGGCATTAACACAAACACATATCCTCAACTAATTTTGATTAAGAAAGCTAAGTTATAACTAGCGAGCGAGCGGCCCGAAAAATGCATGAAAATACTGTAGACTGTGTTGGGCTTCTAATTCGTGTGGCGGTTCGTTTGTTCGCCACTCAGACTAAGGCTGGGCGCTAAATAAGCTTCACTTTCTCGTTCGAGATCGACGCAACGACCCTTCTCTTTCTCGTGAACCCACACTGACACTATACTAGAGAGGGCATCTCTGATCTACAGCTATTTTTACCCCGTCGTGAGAAATTCGCTCGTTAACAAGCTTACGGGGAATAGAATTTCAATGCATCGACCTTGCCTCTCCAGCACTTCCATGGGCTATCATCCTGAGACTATCCTCTGCGCCATTTCCCCGAGTCGTTGCATAGCAAATCAATGCTGGTGAGTACTGCCTCAAACATAGAATTGGCTTGGCTAGCGGAATTCGTTGATGCTGAGTTCGGTTGCTCGGCTCAACTCGGTACCACTCGTTATCAAAAGTATTTATGTCCGTCGACCACACGGGGCGCCCAGCCTTTAGCGACACGATCTGTAGCCCGTTGGACACATGGGTTCAGTGCCCATAGTGGCCGGGTGCCCCGTAGTCTGCTAAGGTATTGCCGCAACTTTGTCATTACAGTATATCACGCACCGCCTGGCGAACGCTCCCCGTGCTAAATCACTGATTCCAACGAGGATATCTGCCCTTCTCCGCGGGCTCGTTTTGGCGGGAGCACAGATGCAAAGCGTTGCACACGGGGGGTGCCGACAACGCAGTTGGTGTTGCTGGGTCCTCTCGGATGCAAAAACTTGGCCAGTAGAATGTCTTCAGCATTCCACCGGGTTACTGAGGTGCGGGTTGTTTCAGTAGGTCTACGGGTGTATAAAATGTGCAGAGACTGTGCACATTGCGGACATCAGCTCTTTTCAGTTTCAGCACTACCTATCAATTTCAGGATCGTTGCGGTCGCGACTGCGCTTGTTGGAGTGAGTCCCATGTTGATGGGCGTGGCCGCTCTGTCCGCCAGTGGCACAGGTGTCGCTGCGCGCCCCATCCCCCGGAACCCACACCGGTCGGGTATGTAAACCTGTCTATGCGGCTGCAAGTCGTGTACCAACGATGCTCTTTTTCGCACACAACCCACCTACTGTACGTGCTGCCTATTTGGCTTCAATTACTTGTATGACTTATTTCCGGCGTTTGAAGTCGAGATCGGTTTAGGCGCGTGCGGCTGGTACTACAACATAAGCCATTGCCATTTGCTCCTATATGTGCTCGTGTTTTAACGTCTGGAACAGCGTGGCGACAAGTGGGTTGCCGCCATCTCCCACGAATTATACCCCAACAACAACCCTGCGTAAGCTAGTTTAGCTTGGTTCCCCCCACACATATGTTACATTTTTATGCTTAGCTGCAGCCTCACTGTTGACATTACCTGTGAGTGTCCATACGCCTGCTCGCTGTAGATAGAAAGGTTGATATATCGACAGTTACCCAGACGGCGGCAAAACTATCCGTGTCGGGATTGTTGACCGTTGCGAGGGTTGTTCACTCTGGGACGCTGATATCTCGCCCTCTGCCTTCAAGCAGGTACGATGCTCTCCCCTAGCTCCAAACCCGGCTCGAGCCGATCCGTGCTGCGCTTTACGCAGTTATACGGCGCTATTTGACACTTCAACTAGGCTTATCTATAGACTGTATGCGTGCGCATTTATGCGACCCTATTTGGGTTTTGATTTGCTGGCACTTGGGCAACGTGCTGAACAGACGCGAGGCATTACCCGCCGCGTTGGTTGAATAAGAACAACGGCGTGCTGCAATAAACAACCAATTACAAGCATCAGTCTTGTCAAAGCCGATAACTGCACTTGACTCTAGTGCAGACAGCAAGCGGACTGGAGAGTAGGCGGGCGCAGCCCTTGGTGAGTGCTCAAGGTTTGGTATCAAGCGTAGGTAGTATAATGGTTATTATCTCGGTTTCCCATCACATGGCCCAGTTTGCTGGGATAACATCGGTATGTACCGAGGACCCGAGTTCGATTCTCGGCCTACGCAATACATTTTTGCAATACATTTTTTACATGCCGTGGTTGGCCTTTATTGATTGGCTTGATCCTAGCATTTTTTGGTACCGTATTGGACCAGGAAGCGGTCCACAATTGATTTCAGTCATTGTATGCATGATACTTAATATTTCAGCCCCAAAGTCTACCGCAACGTACTCCAGATGTACGCCGTACTGCATGCCAATTTTGGTGAGTGTAGCACCACCGCATTGGTGGCAAGAGTGAACGCAAGAAAGACATGTAAATCAATCAACTATTGGGAAGCGAACCACGTAACCTAGTGATCCCCCTTAACAATCCATTTTTGTGGCGCTGTATCGTTGTTGAAGTCCACTGGCGAGTGACTGACCTGGTGGTGCATTGGCTCTGGAACGAGCTGCAGGTTTGGCACACGCACGGCGCAAGTAGACACATTTTGTTTTTTTCTGTCTACTCAACTTGTACCCTTGCAGTTTATCCGGGACTCTCTAAAGTGTTCACTTGTATAATTTACTGTGTTTTTAGGAAATTTTTGATCTGAGTTTTGATCCTATCTTTCGTTCTACCGAGTCCAGCACTACAGCTACACGGCACAAAGCTACAAAAAATAGTTTATAGATGCACAGACACATTTATTTGAGGGCTCAACGTTCTAAGGCACAGCCACGTTACTTCTTCTAACGTTAAATGGTCAGGGCCGGATTGTTTGATTTTGCAATAGGTGAACTCATACTTCCAGCGTACCACCACAAGGATGGCGACTACGGTGGATCCAAGTCACTATGTCATTGAATGTAAGTTCCAGAACTGGTTTCTCGCCTTGGAACTAACATTTCTCCGCAGATGCCAGGCCAGGCTCAAGTGAAAAATGCAATGGCAGGCCACCTTGCAACGGGTCTACCATCGTGCTTGGTGATCTTCGCTTTGGTACCAAAAAATACGACGGCAAGATAAATGATAAGATGCAATACAGGCAAGCCCGTCTAGCTGCTCCAGTCAAATATGGGGCTAATTCAGACTCCAGACACTGGGGGTGTGTTACGCCGGACATCTTGTATGACCTCGCGCTTGTAGATGTCAATCGCATTCCAGGCATCGGTAGACTCAAGTATGGCCTTTTGACACCTTGGCTTGCTGGTTCTGACGACTATTTTTCTGAATCTAGTCCCGCCGACCGACTGAAAATTCATACTGCGGTTGAGCGTCTTACCATCGATCCTGCTGACATCCCCGTCACTGCCAAGCGTCCCGTCGCGCCCAAGATGCCTCTGTCTCTGGCCCCTCAAACTAGCAGATTGACTGCCCGGACGTCGGCGGCGCCGTTTGGGACGCAAAGGCCGAGCGCTCCGGCGCCTGTGGCAACTACGTCCAAGAAGCGCAAGGCTCAGGTCGCAAAGACAACCTCCTTACCTGCTCCTACGTACGCGGCATCTTCGTCACAACACTCCCAACCAGCGTCATACTCAGCCTCACAGCCCATCCAAGCGTCCTATTCGCAAGCACCACAATATAGTCAATCGCACACTACACAAGTCGCCTATCCTTATGGAGGTCAAATTACGATGACTCAACAACAGCGCGATGACGCGGCCTATTTGGATGATGATAATTATGATGAAGAAGAGGCTCAATACACCGATTTCTATCTATCCTTTCAGTCGACGGTGGTCGGAATCCAATACTACGATGGGCTTGGTGAGTCGCATACAATCATCTGCTACCTGCCACTAACTGAGCCTTCAGTTGGGCCAGGAGAACAGGTTAATCTCGTTCGTGAGCCGACAAACAAATACGACCCGTGAGTTTGCGTTTCTTCGTTGATTCTCTGCAAATCATCTCATTTTAATAACTGCAGGAACGCTATCCAGGTCATGAATATTCGTATGCGGCAAGTTGGACATATACCAAGGCAAAGTACGTTGGGTCGTTGTGGGTTTAAACCGTTATTTGATTCTCGTTGTTTTAGCCGCCGCCAGTCTTGCCCCTCTCATTGACCGCGACCTCATCATGGTTGAAGGGACAATGAACGACGGAAATCGTAAGCTTCTTCGTCTTCCGTTTTTGTTCTCGCGTCAACCGCGTTGGAATAGTGCAAGGCCGTCAGTACACACTCAGCGTGTAAGTCCCAAACGCTCGCGCTGTTGTCGTTTGGCTCATTGTCCATTATTTAGCACATTGAATATCTACGGTAAACCGGGTGTTCGCTCCATGCTCGAACCGCTCCTAAGATGGGCCACTCCTGGTAAACGCGGGTTTACTGACGCCATGCATCTCCAAAGTGGCGTCGCACTTAGTCAGACTGCAAGCTATAGCGCCAGCTCATCCGCTGGCCCATCCTACGCGTCTGGTTCTGCCAACAACCCTGTATACCTCGCGGACCTAACATCGTCTCAGCCGTCCAGCCAGTCCTCACAGTCGCACCTTGCTAACCAAAGAGTACAAGAAGCAATCGAGGCCCAGCGCCGTGCCGAGGAGCTACGCGTCATGCTTGCGAGCCTTCAAAAGGTCGATGATGAGGGTCGGCGTGCCAATTTCCTAGATGCGCTCTATGAACAGGAAAAGCAAGATATTTTGAATCTGCCGGAACATCCCTCGCCTCCTGGAAAAGATGATGGAACCTTGACTGTAGATTTGTTAAAGCACCAGGTGAGTTATATTAGTTTGCAGTAAAAGGAGCATCCTCATTGTGATCCGCTTGTAGAAACAAGGCTTGTTATGGTGTATCAACCGCGAGTCGGTGGTTCTTCCCCAGAAGGAGGGCGAGCCACACCAACAATTTTGGGAGTATCGTTCTCATCCTGGCAGGAAGGTGCGTCCGCGCGATTGAAATCGTTGAAACGGTGACATAGATCTCTTTGGGGATCAGGGCTATTATATGAACAGTGAGACATGTGTTTTGAAGCGCTAATGTAGTTCTGATATTTTTTTCTTTCTTTCAGGTATCACCAAGACACCTGTCCCGCTGGATATGCCACCTGCTATCGGCCGCGGTGGAATAATGAGTGATTCAATGGGTTTGGGAAAATCACTGACTTTTTTGGCGCTCATCATCACCACCAAGAAAATGCAGCCAGCAGGTTATGATAATCCCACTCTCGTTGGTCAGTTATTTTGTACAGGCGTGACAATTTGTTTCTGACGCGATTGTTCAGTCTGCCCCCTCTCCGTTCTCAGCAATTGGGAGTCTCAAATTGCACATCACTGTGTCAGCGGGGCGCTTTCCACTTATACGTATTATGGAGACCACCGAAACGTCGACGCACAGGTTCTGAAAGCCTATGATGTGGTATTGACCACATACCAAACCGTTTCAGCTGATTTCGAGGCGATGGGAGGGTTCAAGACAGCTGAAGAGCTAGCAAATGGCACCACAGCCCGCAAGAAGCGCAAGGTTGAAAAGGCCGACAAAGGATTGTTTGAGATCAAGTGGAAAGTGCGTGCGAGCCGTAGCGGCGAATCATGCAGAGTGTCTTATAGAACCTGTTTAGCGTGTGGTATTGGACGAAGCCCATCAGATCCGGAACCCGAAGACCAAGATCGCTCAGTCTGTGTCCGCACTGGACGGGTATTACCGATGGGTAGGTGGTTATCGTATTGTTCGGGCTCTGCTTGACATGTAAGTGACGGCGCAGGCAGTTAGCGGCACTCCAATTGTGAGTATCTCTCGGTTAGCCAAATGCCTGCTCGTTACTGATTGTCGTACAGGTCAACTCCCCTTCAGTAAGCAATTCTAAAACCCACCTTACTTATTCGCGTTGACGTGGGTTCACTAGGACCTCGGCTCTCTACTCACTTTCCTTCGGATGTGTACGCCACTGGACCAACTTGCTATGTTCAACCGGTTGCTCTCGCGCCCTCTTTCCAAAGGAGACGCAGCAGCTGCGACGCTTTTAAAGGTATTTACTCTCGTGGTTGTTGGTTCGTGTAGCGCCTTATAGAATCTGTAGCAACTCATGAAACATATATCAATCCGGCGCTCAAAAGAAGTTCGTCTTTTACATGCCACGATTTCCAGATTTAGTCTGAAAACCGTCTGGTAAACAGATGCAGGACGAACAGGGCAATCGTTTGGTCGAGCTGCCCAAGGTATGTAGGCGCGGCAAATTAACTATAGGAAAGACTTAACCCCCTTCAGGTCACGGTCCACGTTACCAATGTCGAGCTGGATGAAAACACACGTCGAATTTACGACACAGTCGAAAGGTTGTCCAGGCAGCGGTTCGTCAACATGGCCAACGCGGCTGAAAATGGTGAAAGTGTGCCAAACGTAGTTCTAAGTCTACTTACACGCATGCGGTAGGTAGATATCCCCTTCCCGAACATCATGCACCGGCTGACTTGGGCCTATTTAAATACAGCCAGATCGCATTGCACCCTGGGCTCGTCCCTGCCGATTATTTGGACAAGCTAAGATCCGACGAAGCAGCAGATCATGCGCCTGATACCGCAGCCATTACCCCCCAAGAAAAAGCTAGGCTACAGAATATTCTCTTCCACGCCGAAGAAGATAGCGAAGAGGCGGGTTAATCCTAGCATCTCTGTGATGGCGTTTACTGATTGATTGAGTGCAGTGCGCAATCTGTTTTGATTCATTGAAGAATCCAAGGATTCTACCCGACGGACACTGTAAGTGTGGCATTCACCGTTTTAATTACTCTCACCCACGCTCCAATGTCAGACTTCTGTTTCGAGTGTATATCTGGCTATATTCAGGCCCACGGGGCAGAAGCTTCCTGCCCGATGGACCGACGACCTATTTCCATGACAGACCTGATTGAGCCGGCTCCGCCTACCGATCTGACCCAGGCGCCACGTCCCGGGAGTGGGTTTGATGATGTTGGCCTGGCGTCTTCGCTGGGATCGTCGCCTAAAATTGATCGCCTGATCCAAATCCTGAAACTTATACCCAGCGACGAGAAAGCTGTGGTTTTTTCACAGTAAGCATTTGTACCTAGTTGCTCGCTGGTCTCAATAATTAACCGGTTTGACATTCGGATAGATTCACATCGT